CCCCCGCCTAGCGTCCCGGCGCCCCTCCCCCCCTCACCTAGCATCCTGCCTCCCCTCCCCCACCCGTGGGGGGCTGCAGCGCAGTGCCCCCCGCCTAGCGTCCCGGCGCCCCTCCCCCCCTCACCTAGCATCCTGCCTCCCCTCCCCCACCCGTGGGGGGCTGCAGCGCAGTGCCCCCCGCCTAGCGTCCCGGCGCCCCTCCCCCCCTCACCTAGCGTCCCGCCTCCCCTCCCCACTCGCCCCCCTCACCTAGCGTCCCACCTCCCCTCCCCCCCTTACCTAGCGTCCTTGCTCCCCTCCCACCCTCACCCCCCTCGCCTAGCGTCCCGGCTCCCCTCCCCCCTCACCTAGCGTCCTGCCTCCCCTCCCCGACTTACCCTCCTCACCTAGTGTCCTGGCTTCCCCCCCCCACCTCCTGGGTTCCATTCCAAGTGGAGTTTAATGGTTGGGGAGGTGCGGGGGAGCCAGGACTCCTGGGTTCGGTGCACGGGAGCCAGGACTCCTGGGTTCTGTTCTTGGCTTTTCCACTGAATCGCTGATTTGTCTTGGGGGAGTCAGTCGCCCTGCCTCAGTTTCTCCCCTCCCAGCATGGTTGCACAGCACAGGCCGGTGCTGGCGGGGGACCATTGTTCGTCTGGGCGAGGAAGGTTTGTGTAGTGATGCCCCCGGGAGCCCAGGCTCTGCTCCGCTGGCAGGCCACTAATGATTTGCAGAGCCCCCAAGCCCGGCAGCCCCCGGCTAGCGTCCCTGGCATGGGGGGATCCATGGGGCCAGGCCTGGGATGCCCGTAGTGGAGCTGGCCCATGGACATCTCAGACCCACACGTGTTTTGGGCCTCCACCTCTGAAATGCAGCCACCTCTGGGGTGAGATGCAGCCGATGTGTAACGCTCCCAGTAATGCTGGGTCTGAGACTGTCCCTCTCTGCCCCGTGGGAGGGCAGAACATGGCCGGCAGAGCCAACAAGTGCCGGGAGGGCAGGGTTCACAACCAGCCGCGTGGCAGCGGCACTGAGCGGGGGCACCCGCGTGGATATGGCCCACCCACCAGAGCACTCACAATGCAGCCCAGCTGGGGCACGGGGCTGGCACAGACCCAGCCTGTGCAGCACCCAGGAACGGGCCCACCAAGAAATGCCGCTTCCTCCAGCATTGGCATCTCCCCCAGGGCCCAGGTGCCCCCTCAGCCGGGCAGAAGCGCAGGGCCTGCTGGGTGTGTGAAGCAAGCCGGGCCGGCGTTCCCATCCCCACAGGCAGTGATGCAGTGCTGCCCGGAGGAGCGCTGCCCCCTGCTGGCTGGGAGCGGGACCGGGCGGCCTTGTGTCAGAAGCTCCGTAGCGCTCCGCGCTGGCGGGGAGTCTCCCGCAGCGTGGGCTTAGCAGGATGCCTGGCATGTGGGGCAGGGGGGGCGGCCCAGGGCAGAGACCAGAGGCGCAGAGGGAGGGGAGAGGAGCTGCAGTGGGGTGAGGGAGGGGAGCAGGCTGGATTGGAGGCATTCAGTGCTCATCCTGCACTGCGCCCCCCTGCCCCAGGGCACCCCCTGTCCCAGCTGAGTCTAAAGCCTGGGGGGGTCCATTGTTCCCTTCCCCCCCCCGCCCCAGCTCTGCTCTCGGCCTGGCCCCTGCGGCTCCGCCCGGCCAGTGTTTATGGAAAGAGTGAGGAGCAGGAAGGGGCGGGCGGGCGCATTGTTCCCTGGGCCCAGGCCTGGCGCGCTGCCAGAGCACGGGGTGGGGGGAGGGGCACACAGCCCCCCCCATGCACCCCCCCTCGGAGAGTCATGGGCTGGGGGTGGGGGGCCCGAGCTGCCCAGTTTGAGGATCCTGTTGGGGTGGGGGGGGTACGTGGCTATGGGGGTCTTTCCTCCCGCCCCCGCTCTCAGCAAGTTGCCTCTGGCTCTCCCCCCAGGTGGGGGGGCAGGATGGGACAGCAGGGGGCTGCGGGTCGGGAGTGAGGGGCACCGGGGGGGCTGCTTTGCACCCGCCAGCCGTGCCCCTGGCGCTCACAGCCCGGTGCCCACGGGGGACAGCTGATACCCGTGAGACCCCCCCGAAGGGGCAGCCGGCCCCCCCGCCTGACCCCCCTGTCCCCACAGATAGTAAAGCCATCGTGGACGGGAACCTGAAGCTAATCCTGGGGTTGATCTGGACGCTGATCCTGCACTACTCCATCTCCATGCCCATGTGGGAGGACGAGGACGAGGAGGACGCCAAGAAGCAGACGCCGAAGCAGCGGCTGCTGGGCTGGATCCAGAACAAGGTGCCCCAGCTGCCCATCACCAACTTCCACCGGGACTGGCAGGACGGCAAAGCCCTGGGCGCCCTGGTGGACAACTGCGCCCCGGGTGAGTGGATCCCTGGACCTGCCCCAGACCCCCCTGGACCCACCCCCATACACCCCCTGGACCCCCATACACCCCCTGGACCCCCCAGACCTGCCCCAGACCCCCCTGTATCCACCCCTGGATGTGCGCTGTACCCCCATACACCCCCTGGACCCTCCAGACCTGCCCCGGACCCCCCTATATCCACCCATACACCTCTGGACCTGCCCTGGACCCCCCAGACCTGCCCTGGATCCCCCTATATCCACCCATACACCCCTGGACCTGCCCTGGACCCCCCAGACCTGCCCTGGACCCCCCGTATCCACCCATATACCCCCAGACCTGCCCCGGACCCCCCTATATCCACCCATACATCCCTGGAACCCCTGGACATGCACTGTACCACCCCATACCTGCCCTGTACCCCCGTACACCCCGCATACTCCCCCTGTACCTGCCTCATACCTGTCCTGTACCCCCCGTATCCCCAGACCTGTCCTGTACCCCCCGTATCCCCTGTACCTGCCCAGTACCCCCATAACTCCTGGCTCCCCGTCCCCCCGTGCACACGGCTTGTGGGCCTCCCATCCTCCCTTTACATCCTGCCCGGCTGCCCTGCGCTGGCAGACAGCTGCTGTGTCCCACCCCAGAGGGGGCTGCATTTCAGCGCTGGGGGCGTGGTGCCTGGCAGCGGCTGAGCTTATCCAGGCACGTCGGGTGCCGCTGGGCGGGTGGGGGGGGAGCGCGGCACCACATGGAAGGTGGCTCTCAGAGAGGCACATGGCTCTGAGCCTATTTGGACCGGGCCGGTTCTCTGCCCTTCGCCAGCTCTCGCTGCCTGACAGGTTCCCAGTCTGGCTGGGCCAATACACCCGCCCCCACCACTGCTGTATGGCACAGATGGGGAAACTGAGGCACACCCAGGGTCAGGCCTGGCTCTACCCACTAGGCGCACTCCATGGGCAGCTCTAGGCTGGACAGGAGCGAGGAAGGACCCGTCCTGAGTGCAGTTTGGGGGGGCCACAGGAATCTGGCTCCGGTTTGTCTCCTCCCCCCCCCCAAGAGTGGGGGCTCCCATGCCCGTGGGGACCCCAGTGAGGATCCAGGAGCCCCCAGCTCGGAGCTGGCTCAGTGCCAGGGAAGCCCACAATGCCCCATTGTCAGCAGGGCTCCTGGCAAGACGTATCTCTCTGCCAAGGCCATGCCCGCCCCGCCCACCGGTCTGACGCCATCCCCCCCGCTCCGTCCCCACAGGCCTGTGCCCCGACTGGGAGACCTGGGACCCCAACCAGCCCGTGGAGAATGCCCGGGAAGCCATGCAGCAGGCGGACGACTGGCTGGGCGTACCCCAGGTACGGGACCCCCTGCCATGCGGGGGCCAGACAGGGGGGCCCCCCAGGGTCATTCTCTGGGTTGGGGCACCCCCATCCTGTGTGGGGGCCAGACAGGGGGGCACCCCGGGCACTCCAGGGTCATTCTCTGGGCTGGGGCACACTCCCTATGTGGGGGCCAGACGGGGGCACCCCTGGGCACTCCAGGGCTGTTCTCTGGGCTGGGGGCCGGCGGGGAAGCCAGGCATGGGCACAGCTCCCCAAGCCAGCACCCCGGGAACCAGTCTTGGGGTACACATGGGAGAGCTGCCCCTGGGGCTGGGCAGTTCTGGGTGTCACCCCAGCCTTGTTTGGGGCACAGACAGGGCCTGTCCCCGGCGCTGGGGAATGCAGCTGGGGGGTGGGAGTTGCACTGGCACCTCGGGGTGAAGGGGTTGGCAGCTCCCACTCAGCATGCCGGTCAGCTGCTTGGAACCCAGTTCTGCCCCCTCGGCCCCCCCCCAAGTCAGGGCTGGGGTCAGGGAAGCCCTGGGGAGCAGCACATTGGGGCTGGGGGCTCTTAGGAGGCTGGGGGTCAGCTGTCGGGGCAGGGCTATGTCAAGGTGGGGGGGGTTGTCGATGGGGCTGGGGGTCGACTCTCGGGGGCAGGGTGCTTTCGGTGGGGCGGGGGGCTGGCTCTCGGGGGCAGGGCTGCATCAGGGTGGAGGGGTGTCGGTGGGGCTGGGGGGCTCTGGGGGTCAGGGCTGCATCAGGGTTGGGGGCTCTTGGTGGGGCTGGGGGCTCT